TATATATATATATATATATATATATATATATATATATATATATATATATATATATATATATATATATATATATATATGTATGTATGATGTATGTATATACATACATATATATACATACATATACATATATATATATATATATATACATATATGTATATACATATACATAAATATATATTCATGCATGTGTTAACCTTGCATTCTCTTTGCCAGGACCCGGCTTCTCCCGGTAAAGCCAAACCAACAAAAGCAGCATCCCCAATTATGTCTTCCTCATCTATGAATCTGAAAGAAAAATAAGAAGTCTTGATTTTCCAACAAAACAAGTTTTTGGGTTTTGAATACAATTTGATAACTAATTTTTGTTAATGAGGACACAATTTCACTTGCATAACATTATATGCAAATGACAGTATCGGACATTTAATGGACAATTATGTTATCCTTTTAGAAGCATCAAGTATGAAATGGATTGAAGAACTATATTTTATGGAAACAAACAAACATTAATTCAATCATATTTGCCATATTCAGTTAACCAATTCATATGTCAATCAATACATGGTAAATTAGAGAAGAAAACATACTTATCTCGAACCATTAATCTCCCATTAACAGAACCTCTTTGATCACATTTTTGGAAGTCCTCTGAAACTGGAAATTCATATGGCCAACTCTCCACTTCTGTTAGTGTCTAGCTTGATGAAGAAAAAATGCGTAAACACAAGGAAATAAAGATAAACCTGCTATTATCATATTAGCATCTTGTCCTTCTGCTTGAGATCAACTTCTATATTCTTGTTATTGTTAATTCTAGACACTTCTATGTTTCGAAGGAGCATTCGATATCAATATACAAGTACCGTATGCTAGCGCGTTCAACTGAAGCTTAGCACTTGACTAGCTAAAATAAATTAGCTTGTTTGCATACAACAAAAAGTAGATGAACACAGTAAAATTGAGGCTTATTGTGACAACAAATACTTGCACCTGAAGTTTTGCATCGTCCCAAAGAAGTTGTCGATCTGGACCATCCATAGTAGAATTGAGGTAGATGAACACAGGACCAAAGACTTTCTTCCAATATTCACCATTCCTGAATTTAGGCACAAGATCCTCTCCACTGTAGTGAGCACTCAAAAACATCTGAAATAAAGCAATGTGAAAATTAGTCATGCAACGAATATATAAAACAAGGGTCATTAGAAAGTCAGTGCACTTTGCTTAGCATCAGTTGAATTTGCCATTAACTATTCCATAACTACTTAAAAGCTTCACAAAAGTTATGTCTTAACAACAGAAAAATGTCTTTTTCCCAGAAACAGGAAAGGCAGAATTATAAGGAATAATTATCACCAATAAATATGACAATGACTGCTGATTTTATGCAAAAAAGAATAAATGATTTTTGTTGGAAGTAAAATAGAAATATTAGAATAAAGACACAAATAAGTATCACTTAGAATAAAGAAATATATTTAACAAATTTGGGACGAAACTATATGGTTGAGTTAAAAGTGGAAAAAGAAATGATAGTTGCCTCCGAAGTTGTAAATATCTGAGACAATCCTACAGGCTTAGGTTACCTTACAAATTTCCTCCATGCTTTACCTTTGTGGAAGTCACCTGCCTCTTCTTAAGGTACACAGATCGACTCAAGTGGTGAAGAGACAATCAGTCCTAGTCCCTCCATTGGGGGTAGCAAACGGATCGCATGGTGAGGAGATGACCTTCGTGGTTGTAGACAACTTGGTGGAGCTTTCTGCAGCTACGTTAGACGTTAAGAAAGCTCTCCCTCCTTAGGCTTTATGTTATAGTCAATCGTTTCTAGGGTAGCTCTCTATCGTGGCAAGTCCTTAGGGACTCTGTAGTGAAATCATGGAAGAGCTTCTCACCCACTTTGGTCATAGCCATGTAGAATGGATTTTTCTTATTCCATTTTTAATCACAAGATAATATGGTTTTAGTTCTTACTTGAAGGCCGAGGTCTATGAGATTAATTTTTACATTTATTTCCATAACATCCTAACTTTCACCCTTTAATTGAGACTCTAAATTTTTTGTTTGGTCTGGATTTAGCTTTTTTGATTTACCCTTTGGAAATTGGAACAAGGAATGTCTAATTGGTGTTATAGGTTGGAATTAAACTTATTCGAGACTAATTCTATCAAAAGAAAGGTTCATTGTATCAAGAGAGATACATTACAAGAAGAAAAAATAGATTGAATGTATATGAAATGACAAGTCAATTTGGTTATTAGTTCTTAAAAAAAAAATTTAGATTCATTTTAAATATAATTAATGTAATATATCTTTGGGGACTATATAAATCTCATATATTAGGTTATGAAACATAAAGTTTCTGAAATTGTAAATAGTTTTCTTTAGAGAAATATAAAAGATTGAAGCTTGTCTACTCTTCCTCTATTTGATAACTTTATCCCTTCTTCCTACCAAGATCAATATTTAGTATTAGAGCATAGGTTAAGCTATGATCTCTTCCTCAAGTATCATCCAACTCTAGATCCCTAATAAAATAAAATTATGACATATAGTGCATCCAAATGAAGGTTTTTCTAGGCTCCCAAGATGTATGAGAGTTTGTAGAAGATGAATTTATTGAACCAAGTCCAGCAGAAAAGGAGCAATGAATGCAGAAGGAAGAAAACAACTCAAAGAAAGAAGGAAGAAGGAGAAAAAAACTTTATTCATGATCTACTAAGGGTTTAATGATATAATGTTCGAGATTATTACTCTAGCAAATACTTCAAAGGAGGCTTGGGAAATGCTTCAAAGAGCATTTGGTGGTGTTGATAAGGTAAAAAAACTTCATCTATAAGTTTCATGAGCCAAGTTTAAAAAATTACAACAAAGTACTTCTGAAACTATTTCTGATTACTTCTCAAAAATCATTTCTATTGTTCATCAAATGAGATGAAATGGTGAACAAATAAGTGATCAAAGAGTAATAGAAAAAATACTGAGATCTATAGATCAAAATTTTGATTTTATTTCTATTGCAATTGAAGAATCTAAAGATTTGAAAAAAATATCTTTAGAAGAACTTATGGGTTCCCTTCAAGTTCATAAATAAAGAATTACAAAAAGAGGAGAAGACAAAACTATGGAACAAGCACTACAAACTAAGCTTACTCCTGAAAATAAAGGTGAATCAAATTCTTAATGAGGAAGAGGACGAGAACAAAGAGGAAGAGGAAGCAGAAATCAAACCAATAAAAAAGTCCAAACAATAAAGATGGTGGAGAAAATTCTAGCCAAAGAGATCGAGGTTATGATCGAGGATGTGGCCAAGGCCGTGGACGTGGTAGAATCTCTAAAAGGTCTAGAATACAATGCTATATTTGCAAAAGGTATGGATATTATTCTTATGAATATTATTATAATCCTAATAATCAAGGTAATAAGGTAAATTTTTTTAAAGAAGAAAAGAACGAAAATCAAGTTTTGCTAATGAGTTATAATAATTTGAAAAAGGATCAATCTATTACATAGTATCTAGATACAAAAGCCTCAAATCACATGTGTGGCATCAAAGAACAATTTTCAGAAATGGATACAAATTATTCCAGGAACGTTATATTTGGTGATTTGTCTCAAAGACCAGTAAGAGGCAAAGATAAAATTCTCCTTGAACTTAATAATGGCAAAGAATTATGCATTTCATATATTTATTATGTTCCTAATATGAAAAATAATATTTTAAACTTAGGACAATTGAAAAAGGTTATGATATTGAAATGAAAGATATTGCTCTCTTAATTCGTGATAAGAATAAAACATTAATATCACATGTGAAAATAATAAAGAATAAAGTGTTTCCTCTGCGTTTAAGTATTTTTGATCTATCAAATTATTTTAAAACTGATATTGAGGATATTTCTACAGTATGGTATCTTAGATATGCTCACTTAAATTTTGAGATTTTGAAACGTCTAGAGAAGTATAATATGGTGACAAGAATACTAAAAATTGATCAGCTATCAAAATTATGTGAAGTATGTGTTATGGATAAGTAGGAAATAAAGACTTTCAAAGTCAGAAGAATAAAAAGAGCATGACATCGACTTGATCTAGTGCACTCAAATATTTGTGGCACAATCAATCCAGCATCACTTAGAGGAAGCATATATTTTCTTACCTTCACTAATGATCTTAGTGGCAAAACTTGAGTTTATATGTTAAAAGAAAAGAAAGAAGTTTTAAGCAAATTTAAAAAATTTAAGGATTTGGTTGAAAGATAAAGTTATTATAAAATTAAATGTTTTAGAACAGAAAGGGGTAGTGAATATATATCAAATAAATTTAAATTTTTTTATAGAAATAATGAAATTCTATATTAATTCACCATGCTATACAAACCTTAACAAAATAGTGTCTTAGAAAAAAAATAAAAAGGACTATCCTTAATATGGTTCGATGAATGTTAAAGGAAAGAAAAATTCCTAAAGAATTTTGGGGAGATGCTGTTGCTTATGTAGTTTATTTGCTTAACATGTTTCTGACAAAGTGACTTAGTAATGTTATTCCAGAAGAAGCATGAAGGTTACAAAAATCAAGAGTTGATCATTTGACCATTTTTAGAAGTGTTGCATTTGCCAAGATACCAGAAGAAAAGAGAATAAAATTAAAGGATAAAAGTCAGAAATACATTTTGCTAGGTTATCTAGAGAATTTCAATGGCTACAGACTCTATAATCCTATCATAAATAAAGTTGTAATGTCAAGAGATGTTGATTTGATGAACAACAGATTTGGAATTAGAAAAATGATGAGGAGCATAAGAAAGCTATAGCTTCAGAAGATGATGATATAATACAAACACCGAAGTGACTTTGTCGAAATCATCACCTAGATCAATTAGGTCACATAATTCAAGAAGTCCGATTATAAGAAGGACAAAACTGATTTATGAGCTATATGATGTGACTCGAAGGATTGATACTAACAATAAACTTTCTTTATTTTATCTTTTTGCAGGATATGATCCATTAACCTTCGAAGAAGTTTATAGAGAAGAAAAATAATGATAAGTTATGAATGAAGAGATTCATGCCATTAACAAAAATGATACATGGGAGCTTACTATACTTCTAGAAGACCACCAAGCTATCGGTGTTAAGTGGATCTTCAAAACAAAAAGAAATGTAAAATGAGAGGTGGAGAAATACAAGACCCAATTCATTGCAAAGGGATATAAACAACAATATAGTATTGACTATGAAGAAATATTTAGACAAATTGCTCGACTAGAGATAGTAAGATTACTTATCTCTCTAGTAGCTCAAATGAAATGAAAAATTTTATAAATGAATGTCAAATCAATATATTTTAATGAAGTTTTTGAAAAAGAAGTATATATTCAATAACCCCTTGGTTTTATTATTCATGAATAAGAAGACATAGTATACAAGTTAAAGAGAGCTTTTTATAAGTTTCAACAAGCCATATGAACATGAAATTCTCGAATAGATACTTATTTTATTCAAAATAATTTTTTTAAATATCCACATGAACATGCTCTCTATACGAAATATAACTCTAATGGAGATATCTTGTTTGTATGCTTAAATGTAGATGATTTAATATTTAAAAGTAATAGTAACCTCATGATTAAATACTTTTAGCACTCTATGAAAATGAGATTGAGCTGACCGACTTGGGCTTAATGACTTATTTCTTCAGCATCGAAGTTATACAAGATAATGAAGGAATTTTTATCTCACAAGAAAATTATGCAAAGGAGGTTTTAAAGAAGTTTTCTATGGAAGATTATCATCCTACAAATACACCGGTTGAATATGCCACTAAGTTGACTAAGGAAGAACTTATTATAAAAGTCTAGTTGGATGTTTAAGGTATTTGACATACACTTAACCTGATATACTATTTGGAGTTGGTTTAATAAGTAGATAAATTGAACTCATTTAAATATCGTTAAAAGAATTTTATGATATATTAAAGGAATAATTGAGTATGAAATATTCTATTCATCATCTAAAATGTTGGAGATTACTGGATATAGTGACAACGATTGGGTCGGAAGTTATGATGATTAGAAGAGTACAACTGGATTTGTGTTTTATTTCGGTGAAGCTATATTCACTTGGTCTTCAAAAAAGTAACAGATCGTTGCTCTATCAAGTTGTGAAGCAGAATGTATAATAGCTTCTTCTAGTGTTTGTCATATAATCTGGCTAAAAAGATTACTCCAAGAACTTCATATGTCATAGGAGAAGTCAACCAATATTTATGTTGATAATAAATCAGTTATTGTCTTAGCCATGAATCCAATCTACCATGAAAGATCGAAGCATATCGACACAAGATTTCATTTCATAAAAGATCATATCAAAAATAAAGAAGTGGAGCTACATCATGTCAAGACAAGTGAATAAGTGATCGATATAATTACAAAACCTCTCAAATTTGAAATATTTCAATAAAACTTTACATGTTAGATAAAATAAGTTTAAGGGAGGAGAATGTTGAAATTAAACTTGTTCAAGTATCATAAAAAGATTAATTCCATCAAGAGGAGAATTCATTACATGAAAAAAAAAAAATTAAATATCTATAAAAAGATAAGTCAAAATAATTTATTTTAAATATAATTAATATAATATATCTTTGAGGACTATATAAACCTCATGGGTCATGAAACATATAAATTTTTTAAAATTAAAAAAAAAATTATTAAGAGAAATATAGAAGATTGAAGATTGTTTACTCTTCAAGGTTGAAGATCTAGGGTCATCATTCTCAATTTTTTTTGAGTTTGTACTCATGAAAATCTTCCTTCGATCTATTTTTGTTCTGGTTGTATATGGCACGTTGATTATCTCTCTAAGTCAGAGGACACGTCTGGTCGTGCTCCAGAAAATAGGGGTATTCCTCGAGACTACTGAGCCGTCAACCCTTGGACTGGATGGGAAACAACCTATGGAATCCGAAGTTTATGGTCCTTTGGATTAGCGTGCAGCAACGGGGACTCGCAAACGAGGTCGACGGCCCCATTCACGTGGACAGCACGAGGCCAGCTCGGGTTCCGAAATCCTGGACCAAGTGTTGACGTCTGAATGGGGAATGCGCCACCGGATATGGCGTTGCAGGCTACTTCTGTTTAGGAACAGGCGCTGCTGGTTAGTCGACTTATGCCGGCGTCTGTACCGTTGGACAATTTTGTGCAGACAGCTTGGTTTATGATACTGACGTGGTGTCTGAAGGGATTAGGGCTTAGTTGGACAATTTTGTCCCTTCTGCCTCCATTGCTCCAGGTGTCTCATTAGCAGAACAGGGGACCATTGAAGACCCTTCTGTTAGGGCTCCGTTCTCCCCTTGTTCCACGGCGATGGCTGAGCCCCCTCTGCAGGCAAGGGGAGATGGTGTTTTTGACGAGATGATGCAAGCGGCTAAGTAGATCTTTGACAATGTCTTCCCCCTCTTGGCCTGCAGAAGTCTCTCCGGTGGTTCAAGTGGAAGATGGACCATTTGAGTCCTCTTATGCTCCTACCCGAGACGGGATACAGGGGAGGCCTGCCTGAGGCTAAAGCTCGAGTCAGTGCTGTCGTGGCATGCCTAAAGTTTCACAGGGATGGGGGCGCGGCTCCCGGTCTGCCCACTAGACAGATGATGACTGTCCTTTCATTTCCCATATTGGGAAGTTCCTGTCTATATATTACTCTAGTTTCCTATGAACATACTTAGTTGGAATTGTCGGGGGTTGCGTAGAAGACTTGTTGTTGACGCAATTTCATATAATGTCCGTGTTCATTGGGTATATCTTCTCTTCTTGCAGGAAACACATTCTGACGAAGGGAGGGTTAAAGGTCTTGCTAGGTGTTTGGGATGTTCGTGGACGGCTGCGATGTTTCCAACTGCGGGTGCTTCAGGAGGCATAGCCTTGTTGTGGTACTCCACCATTGTCAGGGCTTAGGTGTTTCCTATCCATTCTTAGGTTTTGCATGCTGTGATTCAATTTAGAGACTCAGATCCTTGGATTTTTTCTGGAATTTACTCTAGAGTCTCAATCTTAAACCGTAATCTTTTATGGGATTCACTTTCTTCGGCTGATTCGAGTAACTTCCCATGGCTTGTCTTAGGGGATTTTAATTGTATATCTAATGCGCAGGATAAGTTGGAAGGGTCTCCTTTCTCTTTTTGTTCTTCAGTCAGGCGCTTTAATTGTTTTCTTGCGGTTTCTGCTTTATCGGATTTAGGTTTCATTAGTCCTAGGTATACCTGGTGTAACAACCGTAGGGGTCCAGCTCGCATCCTTATTAGATTGGATAGAGCTTTTTGCTAATCACAAATGGTTGGATCTTTTTGGTAACTCAGTGGTCAAACACCTTCCTGGAGTCTGTTCCGATCATTGTCCAATGCTATTGAATATGGTGGGTCGTCGTAAACCTTCCTCCTGTTTTTTTAAGTATCATTTAGAGTGTTTGGGGTTCGTGGGATCCTTCGGGCCAATCCCCGATTGCTGCTTTTTCTTCTTACTTGTGCAATCTTTGTAAGCCTCTTTCCTTTTGGAATAAAAATTGTTTAGGTAAGATCAAGGAGGCTTTGTCTGGTATCCAACAAGAGATTGTCTATTTAGAGGGGAGAGAGGCTGATGTCGGTCTTAGTTTGAAAGTTTGCATCTTTCTTGTCTACATCATAAGAGTGCTACTTTGCTCAAGCAAATTAATTTGAAGTTGTGGTCTCAGGCTAAAGACCAAGTGGATTAATGAAGGGGCTTCTAATACTAAGTTTTACCAGTCCTCAGTGTCCACTCAACGTAGGAATAATTTCATTCACCAACTTTACTCGGGATCATCCATTATCACTGATTCCACCCTCAGTGGGAATGAGTTTGTATCCTTTTATTTGAACCTATGTCACTCGAACTTGGCCCCTCACCCAGCGATGCATGAGTTTCCCATTCCCCCCGATTGGGGCTTGTGTACTAAGGATGGGAATTGTTTGGCCTGGCCTTTTAGTAGGTGCGAGATTTGGGATGCTTTGCCCTTGTTAGGACTAGGTAAGAATCTGAGTCTGGATGGGTTCACTATAGAGTTCTATCGATTTTACCGGAATATTATATCTTATTCTTTGGTTCAGGCCTTTCATTCCTTTTATGATCATACATTCCTTCCCACTGATTGGTTTAAAAATTTCATAGCCTTTATCTCAAAAATCAAAATTCCGAGGAAAGTCAAGGATTTTCGACCAATTTCTTTGTGTAATGTTAATTATTGTATGTTAGCTAAAGTTTTGGCTAATCGTATTAAACCCCATTTGAAATCTCTTATCTCTTGTGAACAGTTTACTTTTATTCAGGAGCATTCTGTTTATGATAATATTTTGATTGCCTAGGAGGTCATACATGCCTTATTCAATTCTAGAGGTAAGAACCCATACGTTATTCTTATTCTTGATTTAGAAAAGGCTTATGATAAGGTGTCCTGATCGACTATCTTGAAAACTTTCAGTTGGCTAAATTTCCTGATAAATTCGTTTCTTGGGTTAAGATCTGTATATCCTCTCCTTTTTTTGCTTGCATGGTAAATGGACAATCGTCCAATTATTTTAGAGGGAATAGGGGTATTCATCAAGGAGATCCAATCTCTTCCTATTTATACATTCTTGTATCTCAGCTCCTTTCATTTTTGATTGAGCATGCTTGTGAGAGGGGGCTGATTATTCATTTCTCTTTCAAAAGGTCTTGTAAGGTCTCTCATTTGATGTATGCTGATGACATCTCGCTTTGCTTTTGTACAAACCCCTATTCTCATCGAGTTGTTCTTGATATCCTTCGTGTGTTTGAATCGATCACTAATCTTAAGGTTAATGTCTCTAAATATGAGGTTTTCTTTCTTGGAGTGGATTAGTACCTGAAACCATTGATCATTTTTTCTTCTCTTGTCGGTTCTCAGTTTCTTTGTGGCAGCTTTTGGAGTAATTTTGCATGGGAATACTTGGAACTCTGGTGAGTGGATCCTTGATGGAATGCATGTGAGCGGTGACCGGGGACTGTTGCAGGCAGCGGCTGACACTAGACTTTGGTGGCTGCTTATGACATGGCCAAGATTCCTGATGGATTTAGGCAAGAGATTATCCCCTGTCAAACATAGTGGACTCCTCCCGAAGAGTGTATTATGATAAACTATGATGGCTTCATGGGAAAGAATTAGTGGGGTTGGGTTTTGTTATCGGGTATCATGGCGCTGATCCTGTTTTCTCTCCCGTGTTTAGAGAACAGAATAAAGTAGTCAATTAGTTGACTAAATATGCTAGGGAACGTAAGTCCTTTTTTTTAGAGAGGGGAGTGGCCCTCTTCAGAATAGGAGCTTTTTGTCCTCCCTAGTCTTTAGTAATGAAATTTTACCCAAAAGAAATTGGTAAGAATATCATTTATTTTTATATGATTGTTTCTCAAAATTTTAGATACTGGATTGTCTCTAGAATGATTTTTAAACATGATTATGATATGTTTTACTTTTGACAATCAAGGTTTTTTTCAGATAAGTGTTCTTCAAAGTTAAAATGAAGTTAAACTAGAGATAGAAGAAATAATACTTACAGCAAGGGTGGTAGGACCAACATGAGATGTTAGATTTTGTTTGACAGGCCCTCCGGATCGGAACTCGTCACTGGGTGTAATTTGCCAGAAACCAATCGGAGGTTCAAGAGACATCCATCCGTGAACTTTTATGTCTTTATTATCACAGGAATATTGATACTTGTCATCCACCTTAAGTATTTTGTGGAATCAAATGATAAATTAACTGTGTTGTGTAATTTGAAATATTCTTTATCAGAGCTCTAAAAACATGCTTACCTCTCCTTTTTGGTCTGGATTAATTGGGTTAGTTAGTAGAACAGCCTCAGGATATGCCAACTTCTGTGACCTATTAGGCATGCGATCATCGGGCATTGGCATGAATCTTTGTCTGTTATCTGCTATTGCCATGTAGCGAAATCTGCACTCATAAATATCTAGTGATAAATATATGGAAACAGATAAAGCTTAAACATGTATGGCTACACATCTGTACAATTCGGTCACTATAGAATTCTAATTTCTGCTACTATGTCACGATCATTCCTCAAACAAAGAACATAACCAAGACAGCAAAAACTGGTACTGTTAAGATGTGATGAATGAGCTAGTCATCCTTGTAATATAGGCATGCTTCATAATGTCATAGAAAAAAGATAGAAACGAGGGTAAGATCATTTACTTGTCCTTCCTAAGCTTGAAAGCAACTCTGGTTTCTGCCAAATCGAAGTCTGGCCATCCTTCCCGGTGCTCATAGATGGCGTAAGTGTAGAAGCCCGAGCAGCCACGGAGCATTATAAACCTACATGTAGTAAAATATCAGATACCCGGCAACTGATCAACAGAGAAGTAATTTTAGGAATCTCCACAAACCTTTTATCTATGTTTAAAGGGACAAGCTTGCCTTGGAGGGATGGATCCCAGTTTCTTGTGAAAGAAACTTCTACCTGGTTTTCATCTTCATGAATTATTTCAAAATGTGTACCCTGGATCCTGTTTACCAATTAGCAATATGACCTACATTAAGCTTCATGCTCACCAAGAACTGGAAGTGAAAAGAAATAGATGAAGAAATTCACTTACACATCGAATATACCAGAACCCTGAGGTTCACTCCATACCAAATCCCAGTACCTGCCATGGGAGATGGAATTTAAGTGTTTATTTGTATTCAACGTGGTTTGGAGGTGGTATGAGTTCCACCATCTATGACATGATCAGAGAACTTTACGGCAACCTTTGCTGGTAGAGAAACTAGATAAAATTATATGTGAATCATGTGAAAAATCCCATTGCATCGCATGAAGCAAATATAAGAGCAAGTCAAACATCATTAACTTTCGCAATTGAATCGTCAAGAATGATCCTCAAAGTGTATGTGAGAAATTTTAGAAACAAATATATTTTTTTTTTTTTTTGATGCAACCAGCTGAATTTTTTTCAAAAGGAACAAACCACTATATCTCGTTGAAAACATAACGAGCATTATCGAACACGTTTGTAAAATATGATTCTTAATTCCTCACGAGAAATAACTCCCAGCAAGTGTTAACAAAAAATTACTAAACAAGCAGAGCTATGCCAGAAAGAGCAGGAATAATCTATTAAGAAAATTCACGACTAGGAGGAGCGACGACAGAACATTACCCTCTATTCCCTTCTTTGTTAAGAACTTCCAATAAATTATCTACACCATTGTATCTAACTCCAGTGATGAGCCCCTCGGGATTCGACAAAGTCAATTGGAGAATCCCATTATCTATCACAACCTGCACATTTATTTCTTCGACGCAATCAGATAGGTATGTCCAACAATATCAAATGAGAGAAGATGATAATTGAGCTAATGTCTTCACATGATCATCTCGGACTCGTATGCTCACACCAACAGGGGCCATCCTGCAAGCCTCTCCCGAACAGAATCAACAACTCGTGAAGACTGTGCTGCAAACACATCGCAGCGATACGCTGTGTCAATCCTGCCTCCAAACAAAACGCAGGAAACGATGAGCAAATATCCGTGAGAGACTCACCTCAGATTGAAAAGAGCTCGCATTGCGGTGGAGGCGGCGCATGGCTTTATAGCGGACCTATCGGGATCCTTGCCTGCGTCTTATCCCTTTCCCTGCAAACAAAGCATGGCGGGCTTGGAAGCCAAGCTCCTACATTGCTTGCTGGAGATGGAGATGGGGATGGGAATTGGGATCGGGAGATGAGTCGCTGTTGAGAGCTTTAAAACTGTAGGTTGGGAATGCAAGTAGCGCGTGGGCTCCGTCAAAATCCCCACATATATATGTATATATATATATATATATATATATATATATATATATACACATATATATACATATATATATACACATATATATACACATATATACACATATATATACATATATATACATATATATATATATATATATATATATACATACATACATACATACATACATATATATATATGTACATATATATATATATATGTACATATATATATATATATATATATACATATATATGTACATATATACATATGTATATATGTACATATATGTACATATATATATATATATATATATATATATATATATATATA